CAATCCTTCAAAGAATTGGAAAAATGCATTGCTTCATGGATAGCGTCAAAGGAGGACTCATTTTTTCGAGCCGGAATCCGAAAATTGCCGGAAATATGGGAGAAAGTTGTCGCTAGCGAAGGACAATACCTTGAATAATATATCTGTAGCACTTTTTCGCAATAAAGCTTTTAATTTTGGAAAAAAACGGCGGAAGCAAAGTTCTACACCTTATATAAGCTATATGTTAGTGGTGCGATCTTTTTGTTTTTACCTACTTTGGACCAGAGTTAATCTAACTTTCATGATCTTATACATAGAAAAACCTAAAAGTCGAGTTACGTTTCTTTATAATCAAAATGCTTCCTTTGATATTGAAGTAAGCCAAAAAAAATATTTCCTGCTCTACATAAAGCTTGAATTAATCGTCTACAAGTTTCACTGGAAAATCAATACAGCGCAGATACTGCTGTAGAAAGCAAACGACTTACTGCTCCCACTTTCCTTTCTGCGAAATTTTAAACAAACTGCACACGACTCAAGTTTGTGCAAGCGACAAGAAAATGCAGTTGTTTGGCAATGCACAGATACAGCTATGAAGGCGTATATATGTATGTATAAGCAATACCACCGCTTTGAAAACCAATTGACAGCAGCTCTGAAGCGAACGACAGCCCCTTTAGCGGTGCATTCGCGCGAATGTTGGTGCTGGTTGTCAATTCGGCGGCGCTATAACGCGTTGCAGCCAACATCAGCGCGAAAAGCTAATCCACAGCAAGCCAAACAAAACTTTGTCCTCGTCGCAGCATTTTCCCAGTTTATTTATCGCACTATTTTGTTTCAAGTTTGCGGCGGTTTATGTTGTTGTTATTTGTTTTCAGCATTGCACTTGTTTGTTGTTTTTAATGCTGTTGTGGTTTTTGTAGCTGCTGCAATTTCGTTGTGCATTGTTGAAGTTAGTTTATTTTAAGCGAGAATATTCTGCTATGAACAACTCAAGTGTATTCAACTGCTTTCTTCGAGTAATTCCACTTCTGCGCTTCGATTATAACCAGCAATTTTTTGTTTTTGTTTCACTTATATTTTATGTCACTAGATACCGATGTTTTTGTTGTTTTATATTGTTCAGTTGTGACATTGTATTATCATTGCAATGCCATTTCTTTGGCTGTGGTCCTGCATTAGTTCGCCTTTTCCTGGTTTCTAACCCTGTTTGTTTGTTGTCGTTGTTTGTTGCTGCTGCAACTTTCTTCTAGTTTTATTTATTTCATTTCTTTTGTTGTTCATTGCCTTTTTTGTACTTTATTGCAAATTTTGCAGTTGCTTTATTGTTATTTTCTAAAAGTTTTGTTTACATTCGCAAGTGTGTTTGTGTGTGTGTGTGCGTGTGTGTGTGTATTAGCTTATATATAAGGATACATATTCACAGATACATATCTATAACCTTTTTTCATGGCAAGTCCTTGGTGGCTAACACTTTAGTTGGTTTTTGTTCTCTTATCAATGTTCCTTTCGTTTTCGCTTTTATTGTTTTTGTTTTTGCCTTGCTAAGCTCTTCCCAAGGTTTCCCAAGTGCTTATTGCACTTGTGTCAGTCCGTATTGAGGTCACTACGTGCAGTTAACAATGTTTTTTTTACGATTGCTCTTTTAAAGAGCCACTGTTTCTTTAAAAATTTTCATATTTTTCGTTGTAGTTTGATGGCAATTTTATAAGTTTTCCAGCCATCGTTCTGGTTGTACTGTCTGTCTGTCAAAAAGTTGTACACCGAATTTTCAGAACTTGGCAACGTTAGAAAGGTAAGTAAAATTCGTTTTTTTTTTTTGATGTCGATAAATCAATACTTTCTGAATAAAAATTTTGAGAAAAACCGGTTAAAAAAAATTTCTATTTTTTTTAACCACAAGCTAAACCACCGGAAATAAAAGGATCATGAAAATTCATGTAATTTGATATATAACATGCAATATGAGTTCTCTTAAATAATAGTTGACGGCCTTCGGTCGCGCTTTGTGTTATAATCCTGGGCCGAACCGACTTGCGCAGTATTATTGAGCGAAACTCCTTTGTCAATACTTAAATGGCATTATCTAGGTCTTTATACTCTCTCCGTAACATCCAAAGACTTTCTAAAAATTCATTTCAATTTAGTGTTCTAAGCATTGCAATCTAAGTTTACATTGAGTGACATTCAATTAGTTTGGATGAAAATTTCCTAAGATTTTACTTTTCGAACTACAGCTCAGTTGAGCTTTGACATCTTCTAAGCTATTATTAAGCTTGTTCCAATTATCGAAGCATATTCTCATATGGCCTTCATAGAGCGCGATGGCTCACCTTTAATCTCCTCAATCGACTCAAAACGGTCTCCTCAAAGTGGTTTCTTGAGTTTTTGGAAGAGCCAGAACTCACATGGTGCTAAGTCCGGCGAATACAGTGGTTGGCGAACGATATTAGTGGAATTATTAGCGAAATGGTGATGAAGAATGAGCGCTGTGTGCGACGGTGCATTATCGTCATGTAAAAACCAAGAATAGTTGGCCCGTAATTCTGGTTTTTTTTATGTGAATTGCTTCACGCAAACGCCATATAAAGCTTAAATAATATTCCTCATTTACCATTTTTTCAGGCGGAAGGAATTCATAGTGCACCACACCGCGAAAATCAAAGAAAACAAATTCACCTTACTTTTTGCCCACAGTAGTATTATATGTCAGATGTGATTGTGATTCACACAAAAAAACTAAGTGAGTCCATTAAGTGCACATGTTTTTATGGAAAGACTGCCATTCTGTAGGCCACAGCTTGAGTGGTTAGACCAAGATCTAAAATTATAAAAAATTAATTTTTCCAATTGCGGTCGCACTCGGCAGAGGGTGTCAAGCTCTAACGTTTCTGACCTGAAATAAAAGCTCCTCTTAAAGATCTATAGGTCTCTCTGGCGTAGTTTATAATAAACTGTACGTATCTTTTCCTCCTATTCTATATTTGGAAGGTATTCCCCTTCATTTGCCTTTACCGACAGGTACAACATCCAATGTTTCCAGACACAGAATACGCTGATCCTTCCGGGAAACATGTTCACGCAAAAAATCTTCGACAAAAGCTTTCGATCGAAAACTCTAAGCGCCGACTTATCAGATGCCATCTCCGTCCGCGTCTCCACATAACATAGTAGCAAAGCACTGATGAAGGCCTTGAAGAGTTTGATCTATGCTCTTCTACTCAGTTCCAAGTTGCTTCAATTGAAGTTGGGTTAGAAGTCTGCAAATTTTGTTAATGCATTTTCCTTGTTTGTTAATGCAGTTTCCTCGTATCGAACTGTTGGTGTACCTTCCACTACTGATGGAGTTTCGACAGTCGAACATGTTTTGATCCTATCAAATTTTGCAAAGAGGCGGATATACATCCGTCACTAGACAATTTTTGTGTAGCTCGGCCGGCAATTTATCGGCTCCTGCCCCTTTGTTGTACTTTCGGCGGCCAATAGTTATGAAAACTTCTTTACAGTAGAGTAGTGGAACATCTGTTTCATTGTCATCGATTCGATAGTCGGGCTTGCTATCGTTTGATTTCAGTTTTACTATAGATAAACTAGCTAGACCAGGTGTTTGATGCCCAGAGTTTCAACAAAAATATTCTATAAATCTGCGCATTTTTCCACAAAGTTTTCGACCTACCCATATAGGTCAGTTATTAAAGCACCGCATACCTACATATCCCGGGGTCTTCCTTTTCTATCTGCGAACCTGTTTTGTTTCCTTTCTCAACAATCGGCGTTTTTCCCACAATAAGTGTCTGGTGGCGGATCACAACGTAATAAGGTAGGCAGTTCATACATTTGCAGTGACCATAGCGAGAACCGATATTAGGTCCCTCGAAGTGTACGCATGTTTCGAACTCTGGAGACATTCATCCGTCTACCCGGGCAGCCAAGTTAATTTATGCTGCAGAGATGTTAATGTGATTCGTTGCCATTAAAGCCCTGTCTATGAATTCGTCTCAGCTAGTAGATTCCAAGTGTTTTGCCAGCCTGGTGTAACAGTTGCAAGGTGTGACTTAGCTGATGGGTTATAACATATCAAGAGTTTAAGGTTATCAATTGCTATCTTGCATTCTGACTTTAGCATCCCGTAGCTTTTTAGTGATCGTACAGAAGCGATTCTTGTCTTTATATAGATGACTTGTAGAACTATTTCCTTGTCTTTTACTTTTTATTGGTTTTATTAGAAAATGCTTTGGTTAATAATCTTTAGGTAAATTTTCTAAGTGCACGCCTCATATTTCTAATTCGAGAAACCCCAAAGATGATTTCAAGGATTTAACAAATATACAGGCACAATTCTAATTTTTGAAAAAAAAAAAACTAGAAACGCAACAAGCTTGACGATTGTTTACGTTACTAAGAAATTTATTCCACATACATATATACTATATACTTGCCAAAAAATCGTATGTGTTTGAATCAGTAATTAAATTATTTTGGGAATGCCGGATTTTCGTGATATATACACACTCTTGGCATCGGCCACGAAGCGCAGCTTTCGAATACATGTGTGTGTGTGCACATATGTATATGTTTTGGTGTGACAGCTATGAAAACAGCAATACTAAAAATTCAAATTCAAAAATAGAAAACAAAAAAGCGTAAGTGTAGCTGCTGCGACAACAACAAGTACACAATTTACGTTAAAAAATAAAATGGAAATGTGAGTTGAAATGGCAGGCGAATGACTTTTATTGAACTGGTAATCCATTGCGAGTGTTCCAGTTAGCCTTCAATACCGATTTGAATTTAGAGCCGTTTTTATGGCGCACAGGCTTTGTGCATGCTTGTTGTTTGCTGTTGTTTTTTTTTTTTTTCTTGTTTCAAAGATATTTTTTACACAGTCACTGCTCTATTTTCCTTTTACTTTTCATTGTTTTATTTCCACCGATTTTATGTCTCGATTTTTATAGACTTTCACCATTTCATGTTTGCATTACACAAAACTCACTGGATTTTACTTCTTCCACTTGCAGATACTACCCTCAGTTTATCCATGACGGAAGTACGTATACCAAAACACATCATGCGACATGAGGACGCTATGCTGGGTTGCAAATATGATTTGGACGGCGAATCACTTTACTCGGTTAAATGGTATAAGGATGGTTTTGAATTTTATCGCTATGTACCGCGGGATATGCCACCTGGCCAAGTGTTTCCATTGCCCGGCGTCGATGTTGATGTGAGTACATTTTTGTATTTTCTACTAAATTTGTTGCTCAGCTATGTGAATGTAAATCAAAGCTCTTCTAATTGAACGAATGAATAATTGAGTATTGAGTTTATTATACTGATTTTAAATTATGGGTATATTTAGAGTTATTTAGATTATAAAATTTGTCCTATCATTAGGATAAGTTTTCTTATTTTAATACTGCAAGTGACTCAATGAACACGAATTGTCCAATACAGTTTTGATTCTTTCGAAACATGCGCTGTACTCTGTAGATTGATAATATATTGTAGAGTGGATGGGGAACATACTAATATTTAGTTAGTTAGTTCAACACGTTGCTAAAGCGCAATACGGTCTACTGGCTCGTTGTAATGCCCGCATATGTTAGTCCTGTGAAGGAAAATCCTCCCATTTTTCCACATTTTCAAACCACTTGGGGTGGGCTTTACAGTTCAGGGAGTTAATAAGATCAGCCAATGCAAACTCTGCAAGGCAATCGAACGAAAAATTTCGGAGAAAACCATTGCGGGAAGCACTAAGAACTTGCTAGCCGAAGAGTTAATATTCCGAGAATTGCCCGTCATCTAGATGCCTGCAGGTGTGGCATAAGTCCACAACACACCTTTGAATATAACAAAAAAAAATTTTAATATTTTTTCAATCAATACCATTGCTGCCTGTAAGAGAGTCTCGACGTAGATAGCATGATAGTGATAATAATGAAATGACTGAAAGTATAAAAAACCTGAGTTTAAAGATACACAATATTTCTAGTCCTTTAAATGTTATAAAGTAGCTCTCTGAAAACATCAAACCATATTTGGTTGACTAAAATTAATTAATTAATTATGGAATATGTGATGGCACAACCGATTATTGCTTAGGTAATACTCCATACTTGGTCCTCTTTTGAGCAAGCTTTACACTCCTCCGTACCTAGGCTTTAGGTAATGTGTCAGTGATAGACGCGGTTCCCCGTTATAAGAATGAGTTATTGCCAGATATAATCAGAATAACCCTGCTTCACATTCAGCCTAATGGTACTTCTTTCATGTTAGAGTGGACCAAATATCTGTACTTATTGTTAGTATTCAATTTTCGAGTGGTTACCGGTTGGTACTGTCATACGAAACGACATGGGTTCAATGTCAAGAACCGAATGGAGAAAGTTAATAAATCACTAAACAACCCACACCGAAAGGACTTACCCATACAAAGGTTTTCCACAGCCGAAATAAAAAATGTGAATGAAAATATAAAAATAAAATAGGCACCAATCTACAATTACTGAGTATCTATTAAGACAATTTCTTCAGAAGTGTGTTGCTTTATTAAGAGAAATCATCATAAATCTCTAAATCTGCCTAAACTGCCAATAAGCATTTGATAGAGTATGGCACGTTCCATGGAATTCAAAAATCTCTTCCGTTACATGAACAATTAATTGTTATTATTCTATTTTATCTGAAAACAATGAAGCAGATTGAATTCAATAAAATTTAGCCAGGCGTATCCCAAAGCAGTGTCACAGGCCCCATACTATATTTGCTCTACACGCAAGACGTATCCGTAGCGAAAATAATGATCATTGGAACATTCCTTGTTAAAACTGCAAATCCAGCAATATATGTTCTATCAAATATAACTTCCCAGAAACTCCAAAGAGCCCTCTACGAAATATTTAAGTGGCCAAAAACCCATTAAACAAAGTCTGTTCAAATTACATTTATACTAAAACGGGAAACCTGTTCACCTGTTACACTAAATCATTTATAAATACTTAAAAATTAGGCGACCAATTATATTTGAATATTTCTTGATGGTAGGCCTCTTCATTTAACTTAAAAAATTTTACTATGTAATAATTATCACTTCCAGCTATTCACCCTAATTGACTTGCTCATATAATCAACTGTCCTAAAGCTAATTTGGACATTTCAAATATAGCTGTGGAGCTCATCAGCTATATCTAACATAGCCACGCAGTACCACTTAAACTTACTGTTAAACGATCCAAACCCACCCATCGTAGCCCACTTAACGTCTTATCTAAAGATCTTAGCACGGCTCAAGCGAAAGTCAATAATAGATCCTCATTAATTAATTACGGACGATTATTTCCTGTGGGCTCACTCCAAAACCATTATTATCTAATGAAAAATTAAGTAATGAAGTTTGCTAAATTTAATAATTTCTGCAATAAATTGAAATAAATATAGGATGTTAAAAAAAAATTCTATAACCAACGCATAAAATTAATGCGGCCTCTGTTGGGAACTAAGGTATAGAGTGCTTCTAAGCTGAGCTTATCAATATGTATAGTATGAAGCTTTAATAATCGCTTATTGCACTCCTTCGTCGATTTCAAAGTCCCCTTTACAACATATATAGAGGCTGTTTTTATACCCAGGAAACTTATGCGGCAATGTAGACCGACGCTTAGCAATGCCAAGCATTGCATGAGAATTCGAGACGACCTCCTTGATCCTGAAACGTTGACGAGGCGATCATTTCATCAAAGTAACAGTTAAGGCTGTAGCATTTTGATCGAAAGCAATGTTCTGTGGTTGACTTATGAACTTTTAAGATATTATTTTAGACTTTAAAAGTACGAGATTTAAAGGATATTGCAGCGAATAATGATCACTCTTTCAACTGCTGCTTTTTCAACTCGACTCATGCTAAGTATTGTTTCGTACTTAAGCTCCTTTTGATTAGCAGTAATGGCAATAGAAAAAATCTGACGTCAGTCAAAGAGAAACCAACTAATAAATAATTTCTGGCATCTGACAAACAAAAAAAGAACATGAAAAGAGTTTGGGATAAGTTGTAAAAAGGATAAGTTTTCAAGTCTTTTTTTACTTTTGCATTTGCTTGGGCTCAGCTGAGTGAAGCTCAAATATTGCGAAAGTATATTTCGAATTTTCAGCGACTGTTTCAATGTAGCATCGCATTTTATATTAAAGGCAAAACTTTTTCTCTTCACTCCCTGGAAATCAGACACTGAAGTTATACAAGCATATACAAATACATGTATAAATTCATATACGCATATATGTTTGTGGTGTAGTGAACAAACAAGCTGCAACAGTTTGACTGTTTAAAAAAATGTTTACGCATGGGAGCGAATAATGTGGAAAACATTTTTGTGTCAACCATGAAGCAAAAACTACGGTCAACCGATTTGTTGGGGTATGTTTGTATTTACTGATAAGAGAAAGAATAATTTACTGCTAACTTACAATCAATATGAACTTGGAAAAACTGTATTGAAAAATATGTGTTCAAGTTAAAACGACATTAAGCCTTGAGCCCTCATAATATCTATATATAATATTTGTTAACCTACCTTAAACTAGTTTCTTTTTAGTTTTGATGTAAGTGATATAAATACACATTCAATAAGTCACTTTAGGCGCTGCAAAGTGACCTGGGATATGTATACATATAAATTGTATATGTATATGTACCCTAACTCATTCTGAGACGCTTCAGTAGGTGTAGGAGAAATATAACGAAAAGTTGAAAGTTGACTAATATAATAAAGAAAAGTTTAACTTATTGTATCAAGTTTTGTAGAGTATGTCAGGCGTGATACTATAGAGGCAAAAGTGTTGCTGACAGTCGCCAAGTTACCAACGACCGCAGCAACAAAAGCAACGTTAAAAACTACAAGTGCAGAAATAACTCTGGAATACTTTAGCCAAGCTGTCAAGTGGCACAAGTGTTGGACTCATCTAAGTGGGTGTGAATATGGATTTTCAACAAAAACTCCCTTAACGCCTTTTTTCCTATGCTGTGCACATTTTATATGTTGAATTTCGCATATCTTTTTAAAGATTTTGTTTTTGAAAAGCATATTTCTAGCGTCATACTATGCTAAATATATTTAAGGAATTTTTATACTTATACTTATTTTTTTTTTTTAATGATATAAATCATAAAATAAAAGTATGTATAAAAGAAATTAAAATAATATTGGTTATTTTTGTCATTTTATTTGCAGTTGCTCAACTCAACGGATAATGTAGTGGTATTGCGTCACGTAACTTTACAATCAACTGGTCGGTATCGTTGTGAAGTTTCCGGTGAAGCTCCTTCCTTCCAAACAGTCTCTGGCCATGAGGATATGATTGTTGTTGGTGGGTGTTAATTTTTAAATTTTATTTATTTTTACAAAACAAATATTCTATGGTTCTGTCGCTATCAAATGTGCAGACTCAGCAATACTTAAAGAAGTCTATATAAAGATTATTTAACTTACTATCAGAAAATTATTTAGAAAAGCTATGAATAATTGTAATCATTCTTCAAACTTAACAGATTAATCGTACACTCAATACTGTTATATATGTTTAAGAACTAATAATTAGTTTAATCAGATTGGTTAATTACTCATACATCCACCAGCGCGATTTTGGATATAAATAAAGAGTATATATTAATTCAGAAAATTCAAAAACTGTATATGAAATCATTGGCTTGGATTAATCTAAAATATCCTATAAGCGACCATGAGTTTAACCCTGTGCTGACCAATACAAAAACCATATTCATCATAAATTGTAGGTCATGAAATCGCTTCAGCCACCTCAAAATACCTTCGCATGATCTTCTTTTTTTGTTTTGGTGTCTTATCCTTTTAACTGTTGTGTTTTTATCAAAGCTCTTATTTTATTTTGTTTCCTTAATATTTAATTACCAAAAAAATTCTTTCATAGCAATATGCAAGCATTTGAAGAATTTTTCCTTTTAGGCTTATTCATAATTCGAAAAGAAAGGATACAAATATTTCCAAGTCTTTTTTTGGTTTTCAAGCACTAAAGAGTAAAGGGTTTATCGGCATAAACACAGTCTTACACGTAACCCCTAAAAAGGCTAAAGGTGTCAAATCAATCGATCTCCGCCAAGACGACAGATTACGCATGTGACTCCGTCTTGTTGAAATCGCATATACACTTTAACTGCGGGCCAAAATAAATCGGTATCATATTACAATAACCCACCGAATTGACAGCGTTGCCATTGTCATTTTCGAAGAAATAAGTTCAACTCAAACCTTCGGATCAAAATACGCACCGCAGAGAAATTTTGTTTTTTGAGAGTATAGGAATTTCTTTAATTAATTGAGGGCCCTCGGAGTCCCAAATGCATCAAGTTTGCTTATTTATTAATTTCCTAATGCAAAATATGCCTCGTCGCTGAAGAAAATTATTCAAAAAATCGCCCTCCACCTTTTCTTATTCAAGCACCCATTGTGCGTATTTATGGCTAACTTCAGTTTTTGTTAGGGATGTTGGAGTAAGTAAAAGCACGTCGAGTAATAGGCACCTTTTAACCTTTGACTTCAATCAATTTCATAAACTTTTAACTAACACAAAACATGTTTGGATTGAAAGCTAAGTTTGGCAGATTTTGCAATTCAGTACTTTTGAAACCTTGAACTGGCTAACACTATGCAAAAGGATTGGGAAGTGGTTTTCCCTCAGTCATTCGTACTTCGTGCATGATAGCCAATAGGTGCTTACAAGTGTTTAAACTTCATTAAACATGACAACTGAAAAATAAATACGGCTACTCTGGACGTACGCGCCTTTATTAGTTTCATATGCCTTCCTTCAAGCTTGAGTTTTAATTTCGGTATGCTCTTTTGAAGTTAAAATTTATTCAGTAAAATATAGAATGTGTGAAGCTTTACTTATGACAAGAGCTTTTGCGACGTGCTTTTATCATATTCTTCTATCGCAAGCCTGTCAAAATATAATTAGATTTGAGTTGAGTGGATGCGGCTGCTGGTTACCACTAGCGCGCATACGCCCGTTGCGATGCGGCTGTGAGGCTCTTGTTTTCAGCTTATCAAATTAAGGAACCATTTTGCTTGCCTTATAAAGACAACTAGACTGTCAATTTCTGCTGAGGTTAAGTCAGCAAAACAGTCGAAGAAGTGCTTTCCGAGAAATTTGTGTCACTCAGAAATCAGGGCTGGGCTGGGATAGAGGTAGTGCTCGATAGACTCCTCCTCTTCTTCAAAATTTCAAAAAATTAATAATAAATTATATTAATTTATTTTATATTAAGACGCTCCGTGGGTATAATTTGAAAAGGCGATCGCATTTCCAGCTTGTTCATTTTACTTTAAGGGTTGTAGGTTTGTCGATATGCACTTTTTCTTGCTTTTTCGGAGTAAGGCATAAAATTTCTTTAAGAAAAAAATGTGTCACATTTTTTGCACTTTGGAGTTGCCTATATAGATATTCAAGAGAATTTAAGTTTTCCCTACTTAAATAAATATTTGAGATCTGTAAGTATTTTTTAACTGATCTACAAAAAATCAATAATTGTATGCATATCCGGTAGTAATGCACACACAATGTCGTAAAGGGCGAGCAAGTTGTCGTTGCCATCTAGTCTAACATGTAATCTACGCCAGATGAATGTGTAGATGTAGATAGCTAGATATATGCTTTTGTTGTAGACCAACGCTAAGTGAATGTCAGGAAGGTTTTAGCTTACCAAAGAAATATTTAGCATATATACAAGTGTAGGCATGGATATGTATGTATGTTTGTAAGGGTAATTGTTATTGTTGCATATGCTTTATATTATTCCACTGCCATGGCAGTAACCGCCGCTTGTCCTCACAGAACACAATGCCGCTACATAACTATATATCTCTTTCATACATATTTAAGTGTGTAAGTTAGAATATTCAAGCATATTTATATCAGTATGTGTTACATTTGGTAGGATGCAATTGTTGCTACATTAAAAATGTTACTAAAGCATAACAAAGGCCTCGGTGTATTCTAAGTCTCAGTGGCATAATATATCTATGCGTTGTAATGTATAATATGCATATACATATATGTATACATATACATATACATATATATATATATATATATATATATATATACAACAAAACCGACAGCTGTGACAATAATAGAAGCACTGTTGCTCACACCCAGCAAAGCCTTTATCTCAAATCACAAAGTGACTTACAGTGGGTAATTTGAGTGATCTGGGAGTATTGTTGTTATTATAAATACTAAACACTTTTTTGCTTTTTCAAAATGTTAAAGTCATATATTTTATTTCAACTGTTTATACATTTATTTTTGAAAAATGATTCAACACATATATCCAAGGTATCCTATAACTATTTAAAAAAAATACAGCATTATCGATAATATAAGGAGATAAATGTTTTAGTTTTTTACTTGAATGTGAAAATACTTTATTGAAAAATTACGAGTAGATGTCTATGCCAATACAAAGGCCGCTTAAGCCTATTGGTTGGCAGTACGAAATGTTAAGAGATTACATCTAGTAGTTAGTATGTATTCCAAACATTTTTCACGATGAAACTTTTAGCTTTATTACCTTGAACATTTGTATACATTTTATGGCATCTTTAGAGAGCTGTAAGCAGTTTATTTATTAATTAACAAAACAGTTTTGGAAGCTGCAACAGGAACTTGTTTCACAAAATGGCGGCTTCTCAGACAATTATTAGTTTTTCTCTATAATTTTGGTCATGAAACTATTGTTCAGATGCCTATGTAAATATTTTTGATTAATTGGTTCAGCCGTTCTCCAGAAATCTCGGTCACTGGATTGACTTGAGTTTTTTAAAGTTTTTACTTGAATCTATATATGGTAGAAACACGATGATAAGACTGTTTCACATATTTCATTACTAACTTTACCCTGATCTTGTTGTCGAATATGTAAGTTCAGCATAGCCCCAGCTACGAATTGGCCTAATGCCTTAGATTGCTTATCGCCTCATTCGAAGTGGTTCACTGCTGTTCGATTTGTCTTGGATAATACTCGCCTTGGCCCAAAAATCTTTACTCCACCGCGAATGGTAACAAAACTTAAGTTAAGACTGAGATTTGACCTCCATCTTCGAGAGTGACGCACAAACTAAATTTTTTTATAGCTTACACATTAGTCTTCTGGTCATACCATAATTCAACAAAGCCCCAAAAGTGTAACCGTTAATCTCAATAACAAAGAAAAGGCTTTTGTAGTGACCAACGCAAACGCCAACCTAACCTCTACAAACTCAATACCTACATTCAGCAGTTGGAAATTAGCAGGCTCTACTCAACATTTTGTACTGCTGTACCAGGAGTTCATTTCTCCTTTACCGATCTATGATGCATCCTTTTGTGGTTTCGCTCACCACTGGACACCACGCTATGGTTACTCTACGTTTTACAAAGCATTGGCTTTTAAAGTTTAATATCTCCACGACTGGTTGTTGATACTGTCAGCTGGTTATTTAGTACAAAGCCTCTATATTTCCGAAATCGTCCACTGTACAACCCTACCGCACGTAAACTTATACAGTGCATTGCCGCAGCACTTCGCACTAAGTACGGGTAGTATTGTCTGACCTGGAAAGTTGCCATTTAGGTCAAAATGAAAATCATTAAAGTTTTCTACTTTTGCTCACACATACACACACACACACAAACACAAGCGCACATACCTGCAGTGTATATACAAGTTCATATACCAGTATCTATATCAGTGTATGAGTGCGACAGTAAAATGTATTGTACTTGTCCGCTTTGCTGTCCATACGTCGAAGTGACATATGAAACTCAATGCAATGGGTTGTATAAAAATAAACAAAATGGAGAAGAATGAAATGAATTGAAAGCAGAACGAGACCCACTGGGCGTATACGCAATATGCTTGTAACGAGATAAACGCAGTGTGTCAGCAAAAAAGCATGAAAGTAAAAAATGTACAAAATACATGTGCATATGAGTATGTGTATTCATATAAGCATGTTTGTACAATGAAAAAAAAAACTTTATGCTAGCTTGAATTTAATGTACTTTTCTACAAAATGGGCAGATTTATTATATTGTGAAATAACTTGTACTACATGCAAGCATACATACATGCATATATTGTTGTGCTGCTTGTTATGTTCGCTTTTTTCCATATATGCAACTACAAAACTATATAATCGTATACATGTAATTTACTTTTGCTTTGCAATTTTAATATTCATATCGAAGACTCTGTTTGCCAATCCAATAAAAGAAACCCTTGCTATGCAATGAAATATTGAAGTATGCAGAGGATATGTGGAATTAAATTTATTTTTAATAAACCAACG